GAGATTTCAATTTACACTCATCAGAATGACTAAGATCAAAAACCCAAGTGACAATACATGCTGGAGAGGTTGTGGAGAAAGGGGAACCCTCCTCTATTGCTGGTGGGAATGTAAACTTGTACAATCACTTCAGAAATCAATCTGGTGCTTTCTCAGACAATTAGGAATAGCACTTCGTTGAGATCCAGCTATACCACTCCTAGGCATATACCCAAAATATGCTTAAGTACACAGCAAGGACATTTACTCAATCATGTTCATAGCAGCTTTATTCATAATAGCCAGAATCTGGAAACAATCCAGATGTCCATCAACAAAGGAATAGATACATAACTTGTGGTACATTTACACAAAGGAATACTACTCAGCAATTAAAAACAAGGAAATCATGAAATTTGCAGGTAAATGGTGGGATTTAGAAAAGATCGTCCTGAGTAAGGTATCCCAGAAGCAGAAAGACACACATGGTATAAACTCACTTATAAGGGGATACTAGACCTACGAGATAGGATAAACATACTAAAATCTGTACACATAAAGAAGCTAAGCAAGAAGGAAGACACTGGGTAAGATGATCAATCCTGACTTAGAAAGAGAAATAGGATGGACATTGGAAGAAGGAGAAAACAAGAAACAGGACAGAAGCCTACCACAGAGGACCTCTGAAAGACTCTACCTAGAAGTGTATCAAATCAGATGCTGAGACTCATAACCAAACTTTGGGCAGAGTGCAGGGAATCATATGAAAAAAAAGGGGAGAGTTAGTAAGACCTGGAGAGGAAAGGAGGTCCACAAGGAGAGCAACATATCCAAAATATCTGGGCCCAGGGGTCTTTTGAGACTGATATTCCAACCAAGTTCCATTCATGTATATAACCTAGAACCCCTGCTCAGATGTAACCCATGGCAGCTCAGTACCCAAGTGGGTACCATAGTAAGGGGAACAGGGACTGTCTCTGACATGAACTCAGTGGTTGGCTCTTTGATCACCCCCCCCCCCACCAAGGGAGGAACAGCCTTGCCAGGCCATAGAGGACATTGCAACCAGTCCTGAAGATACCTAATAAGCTAGGGTCAGATGGAAGAAGAGGAGGACCTCCCCTATCAGTGGACTTGGAGAGGGGCATGGGAGGAAATAAAGGAAGGAGGGTGGGATTGGGAGGATATGAGGGAGTGGGCTACCACTGAGATATAAAGCAAATAAATTGTAATTAATATAAAAATAATAATTTAATAAAAAAACTCAAGCAACTACACATGCTGGTGAGGGTGTGGAGAAACTGGAACATTCCTCCATTGCTTGTGGGAGTGTAAACTTTTACAACCACTTTCAAAATCAATCTTGTACTTTCTTCAAAAAATTAGGAATAACTTTACCTCAAGACCCAGCTATACCTTTCCTGAGTATATACCAAAATGATGCTTCAGCATTCAACAAGGACATTTGCTCAACTATGTTCATAGCAGCTTTATTCATAATAGCCAAAATCAGAAAACAACCAAAATGTTCCTCAGCTAAAGAATGGGTAAATAAACTGTGGTACATTTATACAATGGAATACTACTCAGCTATTAAAAAAAAGAAAATCATTAAATTTGCAGGCAAATGGATAGAACTAGAAAAGATCATGCTGAGTGAGGAAAACAAGACTAAGAAAGACACACATTGTATATACTCACTTATAAGTGGATTTTAGCCATATAGTACAGGATAAGCATACTACTTGGCACAAACCCAAAAAAGATTAGGAGGACCCAAGAGAGGATGCATAAGTCTAACTCAGAAGGGTTGAGAGGATAGATTGAGGTCATGAAGGGAGGAAACAAAGTTGGATAGAGATCACAGAGAGTTAAGAGAGTGGAGATCAGACCTGAAGAGAGCTAGGGTGAGAGAACAGTAGGCCTGTAGAGAAAAGAGAAACTGAGGATGGGGACATCTCTATAACAAGCTGTAAAATGAATAAAATAAATAAATGAGAAAAAAAAGTGTTAAACCATCCTCCTAGCCCAGAAGTCATTATAGTTAAACTTGGAATTTCTGCTGTCTAGTTCCATATTGCTGATTTATAACTAGAAGGCAATATTAATTTATTAGTTGCTTCTATTTCTCTTTTGTTGAATTTTAACCCCGAGTTGAATTTTAATGTGAACTAATGAGGCAAATTATGAATAATTAGTGCAGAAGTTAGTTCCACACATTTTTAGCATTCTGTTGTGAAATATTCTTATATGCCATTTGACAACAACATTGTCAAATTTGGAATGAAGAAAATTACAGTACATACATGCCTCCCACCTCTCTAGTATCCTGCTGGTACTGCTCTCTTGGCTTCTCCATCTGGAAGACTCTTTCCTTCCATTCTAAGCCACACTTCAAATGCTAGCTCATCTATGAAGACTTCATTTATTTATTGCCTAGGGTAGTTTACTGCTACAGACTGTCCACAGTGTTTTATGCAATTTGCCTATGGCACTTACCAGTTTTCATTGACTGTCTTCATTTCTCTACCTGTTAAACCAGACATCTTTCTGAATCAGGAAACATGCCCCTCTTTGCCTCACAATAGTTTCCTTACCTCATTTCTTCATATAGTACCTGCACAACAGGTTAATAGCGAGGATTCTGTCCGGGGAGTAAGCTCAGGTTGTACTTTGGAGAAATGGTTTTCAAATACCCTGAACACTCGTCTCTTCATCCTTCTTTCAGGATAATGTGTGTCACACTACCTACACTTCAGAGTTTCTATGTGATTAAATTCAATTACATACAAATATTCATTGGAAGCAATGAATACCATGTTTAGTTATAATTTTAATAGATAATAAATACTCAATCCATAATTAAATATAAGTGAGCTAGTTCTAAGACTTTAAATGCTTCTGTTAATGAAAAATTATCTTACTTAAAATTAACCATATCTAGTAAACTGCCCTTTACTTACTATTTTCAAACCATATCATGTTGGCTTCATGAGTCACTAACCTATTTCCTGACATAAAGCATAACCTAAGAAAAATCCCAGAAGTCACAGTTTCTGTCAGGGATGTCTTGAAAAGCTAAATCACAAAACAATGATGAAAAAAACCTCACAGACAAAGTACCCATTGGGTGGGCAGACATGAAGAAAATGTCTGGTCTTTTTTCTCTACATTATTTAATTATACAAGATAAAATGTTTTAAGCTCAAATATATTGCAAGTATCATTTCAAGTAGAAACATGAACTCTGAGATTAAAACTGTAAGGCCCACACTTTAAAAATTATCACATAAAAATTGTTTAAAAAAAACACTTGTTTTCTTCTATTTCTAATTCTGAATCCTGTGCTTTCTAATTGTAAATAATTTAATGGTAATGTATGCCCTCTAGACATATACATGGGAATAAAAACTAATTTAGACACAAGGACAGACACATACAAACACAGAAAGACTAAGTTCATAATGATCTGTTTGCAAGCAGGCAGTATGTTTCTTTGCATATTTTAGTATATACGAACCAGATTCTATTACATATTAGATGATGAATAATTTAGATATCTTGCTGGTTGTAATATACAAATGTATATATTATTTTAATGTATCATTCTTATTTATTTTTATCCATATTTTAACATCTGATATATTTTAAGAAAAGCATTTCTTGAACTACAGATATTGGTCTGTTTGTATTTATCTTACCATAGTCTGTTCTTCAGCAAAGAGTTGTTCATATCAACTAATTCAAAATCTTAGTGTCTTATTCACCAAATATCAGCAGCAAAAAAAACCCCACAAATTTATATTATTTTTAGAACAGTGTGTAAGGAATTTATGAAGACTGACAGTTCCTATTATAATATTTGCTTTGAAGAGTTTTAAATATTTGTTTCCTTCAGACGTAATAAAATATGTAAGTAATACACTTTACAATAAAATTTGAAAAATAACGGCAACTCTATTTCTTCAAAGACATTTTTTACCAGCTAGTCACTTGGATCCTAAATACCAGATATACATTAACTACTGCTCTGCTAAACCAACATTGTATTAAAATGGCTCCTAATGTTTTATTGCAATACATATAGATCAGAGCATTTCCCAACCCAAATCAGAGTCTTGTGAAGTAAAAGGCAGTTAGCAAAGACACCCCTATCTGGTCAACATGAAGAGAATAAGCTACTGTGAAGTTCTCAGCCCTAAATAGGACATCCCCCCAAACCCAGGGCTCAGGGACCTCTTTGGAGGAGGAGGAAAGACAATTGTAAAAGCCAGATATGGTAGCTAACTTCAAGAAAGCAGTGTTTTCCAAACACATCAAGGCAGAGGCACATAGGTACTCACAACTATTGCGCTCACAAACCCCGAGAAAGCTCCAAACAGACAAAATTCTAATTATAGAAAGGGGAGGGTAGACATGAAATCTCACAATGAGCTGAGAAGCTCTTATTAACGCTCTGACTCCAGCTAGGTTAAGCACACAGCAGGGCATGCTCTACTCTCAAGAAGAGCTGTACAACACAAACTGGACTCAATGGAGAAAGAAGGAAAACAGAGAAGAAACCTCAAAGATGAGTCAGAGAAAATGGTATTGCAAGGAGAATATGTTCAAAACACATAATATGGAAATTTTCAAACACTGTTTATTTTTCTAGGGAAAGTCTTAATTAAAAAATCACAGCCTAGAACCTGAAAAGGCAATAGAACTAGTGCTGGGGCGCCTCAAACAGTCTGGGTGGTAAGAATAATTAAACAGAAAATAAACCATTAACTTTGTGCCTAATCTGCTTACCTTTCTATGAGTCATCAGCTTTTACGAAAGGTGACACTTTGTCATTATTTGGCTAATGTATGTCTCTTTAATCAACACATGAGCAGGGGTTGGACAGTGGTCCTTTTCTGTGTAATAATCCTATCTATTTACATATGATTGATAGCCAAGTATTGAGTCATTACGCTTCAGATTTGCCTCTACGTATTTCTTGCCCGAGACACCAGGCTGACCAGGCAGACATATTTAAATTTACCACTGCAGGGGACCTCAGCCTTTCTGGCCTCACAGGAAACAACTCTATTAAGTGGGTCCTTTACTGTAATTCTTGTGATCTACACTGATTATTCACTCTCTTCAAAATGTTTTGCGGAGAATACGTGAGTAGATTAATTATTTCTATAAAACTTTCTAGTCTTCTGAGATTTTAGTTTCTTGGCATTTTGAAGAGGAAATATTGGTTTTAATTTGTCTTCATTAAAATTTTAATTAGTTATTGTCTAATGTAACTATTAAATAGAGTTAATATTATTAAGCCTTAAATCCGTGCTAATATATTATTCTATTCTAATTAAATTGCCTCTGTTTTAATAAGCAGTCTGGCTCAGAATCATGACTGGTTTTAGTAAAAACTGGTCTTCATGTTTATTTCTTAATATAGAAAATTAAAATAATGTTAAATGCAACTCTTTATTTTGAATATTTCTTAAACTTAGTGTAATTTCAACTTAGTTTCGTTTGCCCTTATATAAATTATTTTAATACAAACCCTTTACTATTCCACTATCTTTGGAAGAACCAACAGAAAGTTACCTGCATATACATATATGAAAAAATCAATTTCATATGGTAATTTTATGTAGTTATGTATACTGACAATGACTGTCTTGAATCTATAATATAAATGTACTTTCTAGATTATTTTTATGCAGGAGATTCATGAAAGAAAAAAGTAAAAAAAGTAAAGAAAATAATTTTCTTTACTCATTTACACAGTATAGTAATTCCTAGATAATTTGCTCAATTATTTCATTTATCAAGACCAGCACTGAAGGAGCACTTCAAATGTCACTATTTTATATCACCATTGGTTTAGCAACTGACATGTGTAACTTTAAGATCTCATATGCAGTTGGAAGCCCACATTATTTTTATTAATTCTGGCATGGTTATAGAGAAATTAAAACTATTATGTAGCTTAAGACCAAAATATAAATGAATCAATTTATGAATTTCTGCCTTTTTTCATTTGAGTATAGTTACTTGAATATATTTAATACTACAACTGTATACCACACAGTCTTATGCTATTACTTACACCATTTTGACAAATGTTTTAAAAGAAACTTTTTATATAATATTTCTTCTAATTTAGGGATTTAAAAGGTATCATTACACGAAATCTTTAAGATATACAATTTCTTTGCTTTTATAACCAATGAAAAATGAACATTAAAGAGTTGCACTTAGGGGCAGGAGAGATGGTTCAGTGGTTAAGATCACAGTTGCTCTCGCGGAGGTCCTGAGTTCAATTGCCAGCAGCCCTCATGATAGCTAACAACCATCTGCAGTGGAATCTTATTCCCTCTTCTGGAGTGCGTGAAAACACAACACTCATATACATACAACAAACAAATAATTACATAAATAAATAAGTTGCATTTAAACTCATTTAAATTTATTTTAAATTATTTGTTTACGTGTGTGTAGAAGAGTGTTATATATTTTTCTTGTAATTATACCATGAATTGAGAGTAAAATGATCTTAAGATTTATATCATTGATGTCATTATAATATGAACAACTCTTCTGCCTTAAAATATGTGGTCTAAGTGTCTAGGGTTTGATGTTAAAGCAGTCAATATTTAAGGAAAATTTCATTATTCAGGTTCCATTTTGCCCGAGGTATCTTCAGATACCCAGCAAACAAGAAAGTTCTTATTTTTTTTTTTTTATGAACAGGACTGAATTTTTATTTATTTTTATTATTTTTTTATTTTTTATTTTTATTTTATTTTTATTTTATTTTATTTTATTTTTATTTTATTTATATTTTATATTT